AAACTAATGCTCAACTCTTTTAATTGATCTAATTTTGTGGACAAATGCAACCATGAATTGAATGAGGGATTGAGAGAGAGAGAGAGAGAGAGAGAGAGAGAGAGAGAGAGACCACTTTTTGTCAGCAAAAATATCATAGTAATATCTTTATAATTTGTGATCAATTATTCATATACTAAAATCAATAATATTCTGTTTGTTAGAATTATTTGCAATTTGGTTTACAGTTACATATAGTTTTCTATATAAAATTATTTCCAGAATAGCGTCAGATATAAAATAAAGTTATAAATATAAAGCAATAATGTAATATAAAACAAACATTTATATTATTTCATTTATTGTAAATTTGAATTCCTAAATTGTTTAAAATTTGTATTTTTATTCACTTTATAAAAAAAATAATATTTTTTCCGTAAAATATTTTCACTAATAGTGAATCACTATATTATTAATAAAAAATATAATTTGTATAGTTTTAAAATAAAGGATTGTTTAGTTGGGTTAGATTCAACACAAGTGTTATCAAAAATATTTATATTAAAATATACCATTATTTTAAAATATAGTAATAGTTATAATAATGATATTTTGCAAATAAATTAGCATTACACATTCTGTACAGACACATTATAGTGTTTTACAGTGTAAAGCAATACTACATTTTATGTTTTATAAAGTCTAAAATGTATTAACATACTATAAAAATGAAATTTTAGGTGATGTCACAGAAAATATAGCAGAATTTGATTCAATCATTTTAATACTAAAGAATTACAGTTTGTCTGAGAATTAAAAACAATATTAATACATCAATTTATAAGATTTTGTTTTTTACAGCTCTCTCTCTCTCTCTCTCTCTCTCTCTCTCTCGCAAACGGGAAATCGATTTTTCAAATATTTTGATATATGAATAATTGATCACAAATTATAAAGATATTACTATGATATTTTTGCTGACAAAAAGTGGTCTCTCTCTCTCTCTCTCTCTCCATCTAATACAATATCTTAACCTCTAGTGACATATAAATATTTATTCGTATAATAATTTAATCCAAAATTTGGTTTAATTTATGGGAATATTGCAAAAGTAGAATAAGAAAGTGCTTCTAAACATTAATCTTCTCAAAAAATAATATTAAAGAAAATAACTGACTTATATTATATAAATATTCGGTATATTTATATTACTGCTAGTTCTGAACATTATATAATACATTGCCCTTGCTCATGTTATCCATTTGAAGTGATAAAATTGTCTAAATTTATCGTACAATTAGTTATACGAGTAATTATAATGTTATGAAGAGTTATCTAAAAACATTTCTCATTGAATTCAGTTGTTTTTTACTTTAGTGCTTGAATTTGAAGCACCGATTTTACTGTAAATATTTTATATAAATGTAATAACATTTTTAACTTTAGTTTTATAGATAACAAAAAATAATACAATAGTGTAACTCTTTTGCAATAAATCAGAGCTATTTTCTGTTCTCTCTCTCTCTCTCTCTCTCTCTCATCACTTCCCAGGTCAATTCTATAGATTACTGTGAATTACTGTGAATAATAATTGTGATATTTATAATGATATTTTGCAAATAAATTAGCATTAAAATCAGAGCTATTTTCTGTTCTCTCTCTCTCTCACTCTCTCTCTCTCTCTCACTCTCTCTCTCTCTCTCTCTCTCTCTCTCTCGCAAACGGGAAATCGATTTTTCAAATATTTTGATTATACCATAAAATAATGTTCACAACTTTTTCTAGAAGTTTTATTCGCCGTATATTTTACAATAAAATTTTTATGGAGTTTTCAAATTAAGTGTTTCGTGAATTCAAACTGTTTTCCCTCTCTTATGAATATGTGTTTTGACAGAAATGGTGAACATATTTAAAGATTAAGGTATCATATCTACCATTACAATAGAGAGCGTATATTTCCAGAGACTTAAACCAAATTTCTCTTTCATACACTTTTAGAGCGAACAAAAAAAATCGATAAATTTATGCCTACTTTTAAAACAAAAATTCTATACCAAAAAGTGTGTCATTTTTGAATTCATAAAAATCTAATAAATCATTATGTCGTCAATCTCTTCGATCAAATGGTAATGTTTTGCGAAATTATATATTCTGTAAATTATATGAAATATTTTTTGTAGTAAAACTAATGTCTGCAATAATTGTGGCATTCCTTTAGGCGCTGATAATAAATACGTTAGCAAATAGTGAGATATGGCTTACATTTGGACCACTAATGGAAATTTGATTTCTTCATTCTCTCGGAGTCCGGGAGGAAGTATAAGCTTAACGTTCGCCACTTCAGGTAAACACATGTTTATTTATAAACATTTATATCGAAAGCTATTAAAATCACTTTAAAATCACTTACGATAGTCTCTGATCGGCACTTGAAATGTCCTAAACTGTGGAAAAGCGCGAAATTGTAGCAAATTCTGGAGCTTTTCCTCAGAACCCAATTTTAATACTGTTGTATAAATTATGGAAAATTATTTTTTATATAAATTGATTTATAATACAAATGCATTTCTCACTGAGTTTATTGCTAAATGAATCTCGGATTTCAACCCAAGGAATGCCTGTTTGCAAAGATAGGGTTTTATTACAAACACAGAATATAAATCATAAATAATGCAAATCTCTAACCCATTCCCAAACATATTAACATGAAATGGTGTGCATTGGGGCTAAAAATAGCCGTTTGATACGTGCAGTTGCGGTCAATTTGATTGCATGTGAGACATATGGCATCTCCGGCTTCAGCCGTAAATATTTTAGATTTTCTGAATATATGTTTTTGTGGCGGAGATATAGCTAGAGTTGCCTCATAGAAGACAGTGTCGTTTACTCCACTAAATGCTAGCACTTGTGTCACATCGTTATCCTCTTTTGTAATAAACTTTTGAATTTCAGACTAAAAATAGATTAAATCCATTTAATTTTAATTAGAGTTTACTGTTATAACTAATTGTTTTTTAAGTAAAATAAAACCAATTTTCTAACCCCTATTGATATCCCAGATATTTGTCTCAATTTATTAGTGTTGTCTCCATTGGATGGCAAACGAATTAAATAATGCTTTTTATCGGATGTAATCACTGGAGGATCGAAGAGCTCACTCCAAGCCATCCGTTTCTCTCCAATACAGTCCTCGAAATTCTGAACATTTAAGACATTATTTGTTGATTTAAATGGGATTTTAAGCTTTAATACTGTATTTCACTATTTTCTATGTCTTAACAATGATAAGGAAAAGTTATGATTACTTTTTTACAAATCCAATCCGACTTTTCTGAACAAATGCTTATTAACGAACAGTTGTGTTGTCTTCTCATCCATACAGTAGTCAAGGACTGGCTGTCGATCCACGAGACAGATGTCAGATAATGTTCACTAAATGATTGTAATGAATACATTGAGAAATGCAATACTTTCAATAACTTTCATATCTGGTCACATATTCTTATATTCTTCTAACCCTTTCATATCCTTCTGTTCTAATCTTCTGGGAGTCGATGGTGTGGTTAAGTCAACGACCCATAGGGTTACCGACGGATTGGTTGTCCCCGGCTTTGGGTACTTAATACTCATAATCTCTGGCATTATATTACTGGTGCTTTCATACGAGCCGTACTTAATATAGGAAACGGTGTCCACAAGACTGTCATCAAATGTGGCGAAACAAAGTCTTGTGCCGAAGGGGTTCCACCAAAGGGCCCGATTTGTCTTCCATATGCGTTCGCCGTACAGCCAATCGGGGACTCCGTTATAGACAATCCCCGGTTGACCACTCTTTATCACAGCGATTGCGTTATCGCTGACAGAGTTTTTGTAATAAATATTGTTTTGATAGATATATACCTTATTTATTACGACAAGAATTAGTGTTTAACTCCTATTTTCAGTAAACATTTACTCACTATTTGATTGCCGTTTCGACCAAATTCTGCCTAAAATATTACATCAATAATAGAGTCGTTTGAAAAAACATATCAACAATAAAATGCAATGAGTTTTTTGCTTACAAAATCCAGGTCTTGATTGCCTCCCAAAGTCGTTAGGCTTATGATGTGTTCATTTGTTATGTTATATATCTTATACTTGGCTTTGAATGAATAATATGTTGTCTGAAAAGTATGTTTAATTCATTTCAATATAAAAATACTATTCTGTTGTCAAACGAAACGAAGAAAAAATGTCTTTAACTGACTTTTCTGATGTCGTGAACTAATAACACAAAGCGTTTATCGGCCGAAACGAAAAATTTTTGAACATTAAATTGTCTCTAAATATTGGAAAAAATTAGTTGTTATACGAAAAAGAAGTAAAATATAAAGCCATATAAAATGTTATTTTACTTACAATTATATTGTTTGGCACAAATATATGCGAAGAATTTGCTAATATATTGAACAAAACTATTGTATTTTCTTCTGTATATACAAACTCGTTATCTGTTTGGAAATGAATTATACAATTATTATCATTTGTTTTTGGAAAACAACACTAATAGTCACTTAAAACTAATCACTTGTGTTTCATAGTGTCCTTTTCCAGAAAAATACCATACTTTTAGTCAATTAACAAAAGTTTTAACGTTTAATATCACTTTTTTGTCAAGAATATCAATCATTAAGTTTTATGGAGTATTTTGAGTACACTTTAACTTTTCAAGTATACACTCACTTCTCCGCAAGAATTGTATCTATTCTTTAACATTAACTAATGGTTTGGTTTATTCGTTGATTTATTTAAAAACAGCATTTGATTTATTGTCATTTCATTGCTGAGTATTACATGAATTGCAAACAAAATAAATTGTATCCAATAAGTGGATGAAATTTTCCAGTAAACAATGTGTACACTATTTGTATAAATCAAATGTTTAATCAATTGTACTCTTTATGTTTATATTTAGTTTATAAAACTTTTTGAATTAAATGCCATTTAATTAAAACTAACGATACGATCTATTTTCTTTAATTTTGATAATTTAATGTTTATTAATAAATATATTTTAAATTATAATAGATTTAAATACAGTATTTTAAAAATTAGATTATCAATAGTTTAAGAAATGTAACCAAAAGTATATAGAGTATTGTTTATAAGTTATAAATTATAACTTTTAAAACTTGATGTTTAAATTGTAATTTCCATTATTTAAATTATTTATATGGTTAACGACAGAACTTTTTGTTGAAAATAGCGTCAGATGTTATATCTATGCATTTATTCATAAATAATCCATTGCTTTAATATATAGCAAACATAAAATGTTTTTCACTTAAACATTATTCCGTTCACATATTTTAAATCAAGAATTTTTGAATATTTTATAACAGAATTTGTATCAGAATTTATTGACAAATTCTAAGGCATAGCTCACATTATATTAATGTTGCCATCAGTTGTGTTCACTTATGTTTACTAAATATTACACGTCTTGACATCAAAATTATTACATTTAAATCCTTACGTATAAACTTAGAGCCCATAAAATTATAGGGCCATGATCAATTATTTTAATTATGCATTTACATGATTGGGTGTGAAGCGTATTTCTTTATATATTTTCTATTAACATGAATATCACATAAAGTGTAATTAATTTTAATGTAAAATACTTTGCAGTAATTTAAACTTATTTATGGAAAGTGTTCAAAATATTTACACCAAAAATTTAATGATAAATTGTAATGTTATAATTAAGTGTTGATAAAATTTGTTTCAATATATCCCCTAATATATCGAGTAAATTGTTATTGCAGTGCATTATAGTTATGTAATATACAGTACAGTACTGTATATAGTAGTGCACAACAGAATATATTGTACAAACAATAAAGTAAATATATATTACTATTTATATTCAATGCATTTATATGTGACTATGTTTTTAATGTTAAGCAATGAGTTTAATAAATTCTATACCCATAGCTATTACTGTATAACAATTCATTATACGAACCAATTATTTATTAACCATTGCTTTAATTGAGTTATTTATTCAATGTTTTCTCAAATATCATTAATATTTCACAGTTAACTGTAAGCCAAAGAATTATATGATATAAATATTATTAAATAAATTATATATATATTGATACAATTTAATAGATTTCTATAAATAATAAAATACAATTTATTTTCAAATATATAACAGAAGAAAAATGTTTTGGGAATAATAATTATATATAAAATAAAATTGGTTTTATTTAAAACAACTTATTTTTATGATTATTTTTGCAAACATTTGAAATTCAATTTAAAGTCTAAATTATGAATAAATAAAACACGAATAAAACGCAAACCCTATCGCAAGAGACAAAAATTGTTCCCAAAAATCATATTATCTTTTTTGGCTATTAGTTTATAACATAAACTCAAACATAAAGATTGAATAAAAATGCAAATTCTTGTGTTGTGTCGTGTGTGTGAAGAAAGTAAATGAGAATTTAGTGAAACAGAATATACAGTAAGTTATAGGCTTTTCCACAATTTCTATTACAACTGCTGTTTATAGCAGAAAATTAAATAAAAATCTAGTGATTAGTGAATACCATTAGGAAATAGATTCACACCTGATATCCAAATGCCATCGAAGTCTTTCGGTTGAAACACATTGGAAACAATTTCGTCGACTCTCAGGCGCGGATACCTCACTCTTTTGAGGCCATCGTCTGAATGAAAAATAATAGCAAATATTTTTTGTTATTCTTCTATATTTCAAAATCAATAATTTTATATCAAAGGCTTTATTATTGGGTAAGCATTAGTTAAATATCAGAAAAAGTTTTTATAATAGTAAAAAGTGAGACGAGTGCACAGAATTCTTGAGACATCATATAAATTATATTTTGGTTTCAATTTATTTTATAAATTATAAGTCCTGATAAAACTATAAATAAATCTCCTGTCGAGACGTTTATATTTAAACATTTGGCCAAAATATCTCATTTTTAGACATTACTTTCTTTTATAATATTTCTACAACTTTTTTGATAAAAATTTCGTTTTGAAGTATTTTTTATTTGTCTTTTTTGGTTGTTTGTATGAAATGCTCGTGTTATCTATTAAGTAAGCTTTTAGCTAGTATTTTGTGACTAAAAGATTATAATTGTTTAAAACCTATCACTTGAATAGTACTAATAATTTTTTAAAAGCATTAGATTTCGTACATTTAATGAAATTATTGAAAATATTATATTATATTTTGTAAAATTATTATATTTATTAAATAAAGAAATGCTTTGTAAATAAATATAAATCTAATGAATGTAGAAATTATAACACAATATAATGTAATATGAATTCCGATTGTATAGCATTGTAGTCAAGACAAACCATTATATCTAAAGTAAATATTGCTGTAAATGCAACAAAACATTTCCTATCAATAAATTGTGTTGATATTCTGTTTGTTAATATTTACCATATATTCTGACTTTGCATTTTGCATTGAATCCCAACACAAAATTATCTGAGACTAACCTGAAGGGCATTTTTGGTTATTCATAAGGATTCTGATATTTGAAACCAATTTCCCATAAGAATAGATTTTATTAAAAATGTTGATATCATTTAAATATTTTAAACGATTTATTCATAAATAGTGTTAAATTTAAAAATGTTAGCGTCCTTTAATTAAAGAGTATTTGCAAACCTGGAGTGAGAAGTATTATTGAAGTGATAATCAAAGAGCAAATACATCCGATCACACAAATGGCAATACATATCCCTTTGTAATTCTTTTCCTCTTCAGTCGATGCGACCAAATCCTGAAGAAATAAAATATTGTTTTGTTATTCACGGCTCTTATCTAATAATTAAATGCTTTTCCCGTTTTATTACCAAAGTTTGATAATTAATTTAAAACGGATTTCCATTTCATTAAATATATATCTCACATAAATTCAATAACAAAACTCGTATTTAATGATTAAAACATTTAAATATATCTTACAAAAAATAGATAAACTTTTAGGAGTAAAAATTTGTTCAATAATATTGGTTAAAGAAACTGATTTTATTATAGATTTTACAAATTCTGGCTGCGATTGTTTGTCCGACAAAAATCAGTAAAAACAGTTTTATCATAAAAAATATTTGCCTAACATTTGTAAAAGTAAACGGAGTGTAGAATTCAGTAAAGGTTTATTAGAAATTACTTCACAATTATAATAATTCAAGTCAAATAAAAAAATCAATAGCGAGTAAACCATTAAAAACAATATTTAAACGTTTAACTAAATTTATGGTCTAATATATGCTTTAATAGTGAATATAAATTATTAAAATCAATGGAAAACTTAATCTGCAGATTAAATCGTGAATTAATTTTAAAAAGTGGATAATTGTTTCACGAATATTAACTGCAATCACATTAATTTATTGGCTCAATTATTTATTGGCTCTGTATTAACTTTACAAATGATATTTTGGAGTGTACATAAATAATGTAACCATTTATTATGCCCCTCTACCACATATACTGCCAGAAAACTGCCAGATATACTGTACGTAATGTATAGGAGAGGGCGGCACCCAATAAATAATTGAGCCAATAAATTAATGTGATTGCAGTAAACTATTAACTAATTAATTATTTATTTGATTTTTAAAAACATTTAATCATTCATTTGGGCAATTGTTTTAGTGGTATTCACATATTTGTATGCATTTCAATGCAAATATCGATTTATTGTCTCAACTATTTTATCAATTGATTATTTGAATTAATTAAAATTAAACCCATTTCTAAGTTAGAAATACTAAAATTTAATTAATTCTTAACAAATACTTGTATTAAAAATTTTGTTAATTTATGCTTATATTGAGACTATAATTATTAATAATTAAAAGCATTAATCTTAATTATGGTTTTTTAATACATATTAATGAAATCAATTAATCTTTTTTGAGACTAACAAAACGAAACACAATTTAAACAAAAGAATTGAAAATATATTTAATTAAGAAAACATCAAATTCTGTAGTGATTATAGTCTTTATACATGAATTATCGGACCATAAATGCCAGCAATTATTAATTGTATTATATATAGTGATAAAATACAAGCAAAATGTGTTCACTTTATTAGTCTAATGAATACATATTTTCATTTTTACACCAGAAATGATACAAATAATTAAATAACTGATGGTTGGACTTGTGTTTCGCCAGTGCATCGGCTGTTCAGTTATAATTCAAATTTATTATATCATAAATTAAAGACTCCGAGACTAAAGGCTATGATTTTTGGCCGTATATTAACAAAAATCGATTGAAATAACAGACTATATATACAGTGAATGTATGGAAATATAGCCAAATATTTGTGTTAAAGAGATAACGAAAGTTGATATCATTGAATGAGATCTCATTTCTTTATCTCTCATTATTTTATGGTCGCATTGTTTTTTATTAATAACTTATATTTAATTAAAATCACTGTTAAAGTCAATTACGTTTACTTTAAATTAAGCGATTGTTTGCACAGAAATGTTGACAAATGTATACTAAAACTGTAATAAACAGAGCGTTTAGTGCTTTAATACAAACTTATAGACCAATCAATCAATTCTCGGACAAGAATTGATGGTTTAATGCATTGAATTGTAATCACAATATATCTGTCAAATGAATAGACAGATCAGAATCGGTTAGATATACACCATATAAATATAGTTACATAGTTTTGGCTATAGATTAATATCTTATAGATTCTCGTTATCAAAATTAATTTATCCACTATTTTGCAACTCTCTCTCTCTCTCTCTCTCTCACGAGGTCAGAGGTACACTAAATCGAGTTAAGTTTAAATTAAATTTGTTTAATTATAGTTTTTTAGAAATAT